ATATATATGTATATATATATATATGTTTAAATTATATATATAATATATATATAATTATTTAAACGTAACAGAAGATATGTGTGTGTGTGTTTGTAACAACAACAGTAAATACATCTTGAAAACTGTTGTGGTGTTATAAATAAATACATATACAGTACATACAATACAATATATATATTATATATACAATGACAATTGTATGTATAAACTATAAAATTTGACAAGAGGAAACACCAGTGGTTGATAATTCCTATTTGAATCATTACCTTAAATTTCCAAGCTTACTACCAGGGTTCGACAGGCCACAAATACATGACATAATATCAGTTTATTGATAAAGTAGTATAGTAACGGCAGCATTGTGCTCCATTTCTCAGCTATTGTACATTCCCCTCAATTGCTATGAATAATGCATAAGCCACTGTTGAAAAATGTAGCTCATAAATATGCATAGTGAACCTCGCTGTTGTGACCGCTAAGAATTGACTACCGTTGTATTAAGCAACGAAACTACCCTATCATGACATTTGTCTACGCCCCCGTTGGGGGCAGTAGACACAAAAACTGGCTTCTTCAGATAAACCGGTAGAGTGTGATCACTGAAATTAACCGACGATACGACGTCGGCGATCATGGAAGTAGTTTCAACCTTAAAGTTACTTTTAGTTAGTTAAATTAATTCCGGCGAATTCCTCGACAGCGGGTCCAAGCGGGGGTCCAGAGGTCCTCCATTGGGTCCTTTTCCCCAGATCCCCGCTAGTGCCCCGCCCTGATTGAATAGACGTGGGGTCGAAGAAAATTAAAGAAATGGTAGAAGTAGGCGAAAAGTATTGATTTCCCAATCACCATATGTTATATCATCATATGTTATTAAGTACACTAAATATTAAAATATAGATATAGCAAGTTAATAACTATAGGCCTACACAATACACAAATTAAGCAATTTAAACATAGAATTGAATTTCTCAATCATTTTAAGTTCATGAAAGACAATATTTTGAAGGCAATTGCAGACAAAACCTCATCATCTTCCTCCATGTGGTTAATAACGGCGGTGTAGGATGAACGAAAACAACAACACTGCAGAGAAACCTACTGCTGCTGCGTACACGTAAGTATGGCTCGTAGTAGGTCGATTTCCCTCAAGAAATTGTTGAATTTCATCGACAGTGTAGACACGTCTGCAAAGTGGGCAGGACCTGTCGTGTGATTCAAGCCATTCCATCAAGCAATCTCTGTGTATGTCGTTATTGCATCTTCGACATTTCAGACATGGTCCTTCTTCCGAGGGTTCTAGGCAAATGCAACAGTCCCGACAACGCTTCATGATGATCTGAAATAAATGGCAATTATGGCAAAGTATTATACAAATATAGTTGCGAAAAAATGACATGATGTGAGCGAATCAGTTGCCACTTCTAGGAGTATCGAAATGGGTGGGGAATAATGGGGGACGCAAAGGTGAAATGGGAGGGCTCAATGATCTGATTAGGTATGATATGATGTTTTAATTTATAAGCTACTTTTGTTAAGCGTAATTTTTGTATATCGAAATATTTCCAAATATTACACTTACAACCAGAATTCAGGGGCTATGTAAATTATGCAACTGTAACCGTAGAAAAACAATTCATCACTTCATTTTATTTTAATAGCCTTCAAGATATTGAAGATAATGTATTTTAGAAATTAAAAGATGATATTGTTTCTAAGGTCCCAAAACACGATGTGTAAAAGCATACTGACACGTGCGTTTGTGGGACAGCACTGTGTTCCTTGGCACATGCGCGTGTTCCTGACCTTGTTCTTATTGGTCGGTTTTGATTGACACTTTGGAAAGGTCCACTGATTCTGTTGATTTCTGTGTTTGTTGTCAATTATTAATTTATCGAAAATATGTAGACTGAATGGATGCACGAGTTTGAAAGTCGATTAAAC